TACCAGTTTTAACCCTAGGTTCATATCTGTGCAGGTTTGCGCATTTGGCAGCATTTGGCAGTTATTTGAATGGGCTGCCGTGCCTACATTTCCGCAGAAAAAAAGTTCATGCAACATTTTGGAAATGCTGAGGCTGGGAAATCCATGCAATTTCCTTGCGGTGCCTGCACATGCAAATTCACAGTGATTTGAGATGCATGGGGATGCCATCAAGAACAAATGGCAGTCTTTCGCATCTCTAAATAGCAGGGCATCTTGGCTTCTGGTGGTTTCTGGTACGGGAACAGCTTTATTCGTCTTTATTCTGTCTAAATATTTTTTTAACCATATCAATTTTGAGCCATAGTGGTTCATTTGGGGCTATGTCAATATCATCCCCATTATGGACTTGAGCTCCCCCATGCTCCTTTGTATACAAAGAGCTGAAGAAGGTATTTAATAAATTTGCCTTCTCTTTGTCCCCAGTCACCCACACCAGATTTGTTTGTAAAGGGCCTACATGCTCAGACCTGACCTTTTGACTATTACTATATTCTAAGAATTTTTCAGGATTTATCTTTTTCCCTTTTGCACTCTGTCATTCATTTTTAATTTTTGCAGCCTTGATTTTCTTTTTCCATACTCTGTTATATTCTTAGTAAAATTTAAATGACGATAGTGTTCCTTCATTTTATATTTTTTCAAAGCTCTTTTCTTATTATTTATAGCTTTTTTTACCTTTGGCCGTGAGCCACATAGGTTTTATTTTTAGCCTTTTAAACTCATGGGAGCATATTTTGCAGTGTGTTCACAGTGCCAAGTAGTTGTTGTCACTTACGCAACCTATTTTTATCAGCAATGTCAGATAGACCATAACAGTGGCTTTAAAATGCTTACAGTTCAAGTAAAGACACATAGATCTTTCACCACCCATCATTCTCAGTATGAAATGTGCCCAGTGGTGTATCTTCAATGAGTGCAATGTGTGAAAGGCACATGGGCCCCCAGAGGGATGTGGCCCACTGTGCTCTTACAAACTGCACACATTGAGGATACCTGTCTTCCCCCCTCTCCCCCTCCTCATCGCGGCCATCATCTTTGGTGTCATTGGCTGCTAGGAGCACTGGCAGGGCCAGGACAAGGGGTGGGCAGGAGGGCCATCTGCCCTGGGCGCGGTGGTTTCATGTGAGGTGGAGGGGCACAGCATGGAGTGTTCATCTACAAGCTGACAGGAGTAGTGACGGCAGCTTCACTACTCCTGTCAGCTTAGCTTTGGAGGAAACAAGACAGATATGGAGATGAGCAGAGAGCTGGGAGGTGGGACAGGTTGTGTTTTCTCTCCCCTACAGCTCCTCCTCCTGCCACTGCAGCTCTCTAGGATCAGGACTGCTGGATCATCACTGTGCACTGTTTGTTTACCCTTACCAGGGGCGGACTGACCATTTAGAAACTCGGGCACTGCCCGAGGGCCTGGGGTCAGTAGGGGGCCCCATGAGATGCCCCTGGTACCTTTTTCATAGGCTTTTTTGAGTTTGGGCAAGGACACTGGGGCCCCATGATCCCCTATTGGCCAGGGGCCCCATGAGTTGTCAGTCCGCCCCTGACCCTTACCCATCTTCTCCCAGCAAAGAATGTGTGCAGGATGTGGGTAAGCAAACACTGCACAGTGGCAATCTGACAGCCAGTGGCATCTCTAGTGTGAGGCCCTGACTCTTCAGTCCTGCTGTACTCTATAGCCCCCCCTATAGTCCTTACATTTTTGGGGGGAGAGGGGGGGTGATTTTGCTGACATATAATGTTTATACAGCAAGATTAAACTTCCTCTAGCATTGCTCCTGTTTCTTCTGGCTGGAGGCTACCATTTTTCTGAAGCCAAGAGCCCCTGAGCAGAAGTAAATCATACAAAGGAACTAAACCCATCGTCATCGATTTAACAATTTAACAAGTTACATTCCTAGAATGCTGGGATTGCTAACTGTCCATTTTCTTGTTTCCTCAACCAAACTGTCAAACCATCAAATGAAAGTCGTTATACATATCTTTTCTGAAGCCGATCTGGTCTGGTCTCCAGCGGCAGATGCTGTGTGCAGGAGAGAACTGACAACGGCTGTGAAATGCCTGGGAAGTGACGTCACCCATAGACTTACTATGAGGCTTCCGTTGTCGGCTGCCTCTCCTGCACACACCTAAATGCTGAAACTGCCGCTGACAGCTCAGTGTGGGACCAGACACAGAACCTGAAGAACAGGTATGTATAGCGATTTCTTCTTTACAGGACTAGATAGATTCGTTTTAGAATGTGCCTGGGAGTGGGATTAGAGTTAGTTAGGTTTTGGGCGAGCTTCTACTTTAAGGGAAAGTTCTTTCATTAAAGAGAACCTGCTACCAAAATGCATGACATAGAGTGAAAAAAAAAACATTGTAACAAATGTATTTGCAGCCAGGAAGTTAAAATCCTCCCCCCCAAAAAAATTTTGGAGCTTCCCCCCACCCCCACATACAGACATGTATATATATAAATGCATGTGTTGGGGGTACAAATGCATGAAAATGTTGATTGTAATATCACTGTGCATGCTGGAGATAGAGCAATAATTCTAGACCCATAATTTACACTTAACTAAAAAAGCTGATAATATGTAGGGGCTTTTAAGGCTCTGCCTATGGTAAAATCTTCTGGATCTTAAAGTGGATGTAAAGACCCAAGGTTGTTTACATGCATGCATTCTATGTATTCCATTGGCTTGTGCAGCTGTCAATCACAGCCAGTGAGCCAAGGAGGAGAGAGCAGCGGCTCAAGAGCAAGCCTGATTGGGTGCCTCCATAGGAAGCTGTTTGCTCTGGGGGCACTTGGCAGGTGGGAGGGACCAGGAGCACTGGCAAGGGACCCCAGAAAAGGAGGTTGCACAGAGCAGGTAAGTATGATGTGATTGGGTTTTTTTTTTAAGTGTGCAGGATCCCACCACAGCACCTCGCCACCCCCCCCCCCCCCATGCTTACCTGGGCCCAAACTTAATCAAGCGCTGTGCGAGAGAGCAGCAGCTTTCTCCACTCTCTCCCTCCTCACAGGGCAGTTTGATAGCAGTGGGAGCCATTGGCTGCTGCTGCTGCTGTCAATCAAATCCTATGATGAGAGAGCAGGAGGTGGGGAAAAGCCTTGCTGTCTGTATCTATGGCCACAGTTAGCAGAGCTTGGGAGCAAGCCTGCATGAGCACCCCCCTTAACAAGCGGTTTGCTGGAGGGGTACTTGGCAGGGGGAGGAGTGGGGGACAGAGTAGGTAAGTAAGACATATTTGTTATTTTTAAAAAAGGTTCAAATCACTTTAAAGGATAAGTTCACCTTTGAGAACATGTTACAAGTTCCACCCATTTTTAGGGTGGAACATGTAACATGCTCCCACAGCTGCAGCCTCGTCCACCGCCGCCCCCCCCCCCCCTTCCTCTGGCAGATAGTATAGGGAGAAGTTTCCCCATACTGTCTGATTTTGAAAACAGCGCGACTGTGTGGGACTCTGTCCACACAGCCGCGTCATTCATTCACAGACTTCCGTGAATGAATGAATGAACTGCAAGTTCCGAAAGCTTTAGCGGCTGTGGGCTTGTAGTTTTCAATGAACTACCACGGTGCTGTGGAGCGCCTTGGTAGTTCATTGAAGCATCCTGTCAGAATATCTGCTTGACTGTACATCCTGTATGGCAAGCAGATATTCTGACAGGTATGCAGGTGACCTGCATGGCATCAGCAATCTACTGATCGCTGGTGCACTGTTTTCCAAGCTCCTGTAGAAAAAAATAATAAATGCAATTTTTTTTACCTACAAAAAAATATGCATTTATTATATTTGTCCAAAAGGTGAACTTATCCTTTAAAGTGCATTTCTGAGGGTTACATTCGTAAAGTAGGTCTTTTAGATCAGTTCAGCAAATATACTTATTTTTGCAAGACTGAAGTTTCATTTTAACTTCTGCTGTATAGAAATGCTTGCAATCTGGTTTATACTTTTATTAGGAAATACTACAGATAAAATCAGAAAAAACATATCCTAGCACTTTTGATCTTTTGTCCTATTGTCACTTGCTTCAGTTATATACAGCATGCATTGTTCGATCACATTTAATGACAGACTACTGTATATTGTTCTGTTGAGAAACGCGGGCCCAGGGGATACAGAAACGTCTAAGTACACTAAACAGCTACTAAGCCCCTGACACAATTCCTGCTGCTAGTAGAGATTAAAATGTCTGCTGGCATAACAGAAACCCTAATTGCAAGCAAGCCATTTCCATGGCAACGTCAATCAGTGTCTGCCAGTTGTACTCATAAATCTTTATGTTCAGTACAAAACACAAGCAATAGTGGTTTCTTCCTGAACACATCCATTAAAGATTATTTAAGCAAAAATTGTGATCAGTTGTCATTGTGTGTGTATCCAGGGTCTGGGGGTAATCATTTGTATTGATAGGCTTTATATACTGAAGTTGTATAGCTAATTATCTCAGTTCTTATTATATCATCTCAGTTCTCATTATATTAGATCTCAGTACTTGATTATCGCAGTTCCAAAATATTCCATACATCAGGCTTTAAAAAGTAGAAATGATGGAGCAAATTAAGAAAAGCATTTTACTATCCCTGAAAAACTATAGTGGTTAAGGAGTTAGAGTCTTTGTGTTTACATAGGGCACTCACAGTTGGCCAGATCTTAATGGTTCTTCAAAGAACACAGAGATTTTCCAACACGTGAATTTATTTAGTCTATGCCGCAGTCTAACCACAAGATGTAATAAAGTATGACATCCTAGAATAGCAGGAAGGACATTTTTTTTACAATATAATGTTTTTCATCTTTTTATTTGTACTATTTTGTGTGGCGTGATTACTGCCTTTATTTAATGTCTTGGTCTGGGAGCATTACATACACTATATTGCCAAAAGCATTGGGACACCCCTCCACATCATTGGATCCAGGTGTTCCAATCACCTCCATGGCCACAGGTGTATAAAATTAAGCACCTAGGCATGCAGACTGCTTCTACGAACATCTGTGAAAGAATGGGTCACTCTAGGAAGCTCAGTGAATTCAAACGTGGTACCATGGTAGGTTGCCACCTGTGCAATAAGTCCATCCGTGAAATGTCCTTGTTAGTAAACATTCCACGGTTAACTGTTTATGATATTATAACAACGTGGAAGCAACTGGGAACAACAGCAACTCAGCCACAAAGTGGTAGGCCACATAAAATGACAGAGCGGGGTCAGCACATGCTGAAACGCACAATGCGCAGAAGTCACCAACTGTCTGCGGAGTCAATATCTAAAGACCTCCAAACTTCATGTGGCTTTAAGATTAGCACAGCAACAGTGTGTAGAGAGCTTTATGGAATGGATTTCCATGGCTAAGCAGCTGCATCCAAGTCTTACATCAACAAGTGCAATGCAAAGCTTCAGTACCGTTTTGGTGGTGGGTCAGTGATGGTCTGTGGAAGCATATCCATGGAGGGACGCACAGACCTTTACAGACTAGACAATGGCACCTTGACTGCCATTAGGTATCGGAATGAAATCATTGGACCCATTGTCAGACCCTACGCTGGTGCAGAGGGTCCTGTTGCATGACAATGCCTGGCCTCTTGTGGCGAGAGTATGCAGGCAGTTCCTGGAGGATGAAGGAATTGATACTATTGAATTGCCCCCATGCTCGACTGACCTAAATCCAATAGAACACCCTCTGGGATATCATGTTTCGGTCTATCCAACACCGTCAGGTTGCACCTCAGACTGTCCAAGAGCTCAGGGATGCCCTGGTCCAGATCTGGTAGGAAGTACCCCAGGACACCATCCGTCGTCTCATTAGGAGCATGCCCCAAAGTTGTAAGGCATGCATACAAGAATTTGGGGGCCATACAAATTACTGAGTGCCATTTTGAGTAGCTGCAATTAAATTTCAGCAAAATGGACTAGCCTGCTGCATAATTTATTCACTTTGATTTTCAGGGTGTCTTTGAATTCAGTCCTCTGTATGTTGATAATTTTAATTTCCATCAAATGATGGGGCATCCTTACGTTTCTAACACATTACCCAGTCCATATCAGTATAGATATACAGCATATTTTTCCCCATTGAGATCTGATGTGTTTTCAAAGTGTTCCTTTAATTTTTTGAGCAGTGTATTTGAGAGCTCTGAACATGAATTCTTGGGTCGGTTTCACCTACTCTGTCCATTATGAGGGGTACCCCTCTCCTTGTATAATTTTTTTGATATTAAAAATGATCTTCACTCTAGGAACAAAAAAATTAAAAGTCATCAGCTACAAATACTGTAGCTGCTGACTTTTTAATAAAAGGACATTTACCTGTCCAAGGATCCAGCTCCGTTCTCACCCGGGCCATTTCTTTTTACCGGTCCTTGGGTCCCCAGCACTGGCATCTTTGGTGAGGGAAGTTGTCTGTGACTCTTTGCAGCTTCACAGCTATCTGCCCACTGCACATGCATGAGCTTTGTTGTGATTTGTGAATGGTCCTACAGCCTTATGGGACACATGACATTTCTCAAGAGGCTACTGGCAAGGAATGGGGGGGGACAGACTTCTGTTTGGATCACCTAGGTGATCTGATTGGAAGTGGGTACCTAACAAACCTAGGTACCTGCTCCCTCCAAAAAACATTTAATGTGCCAATCGTTGTGGGGGGAGGAGGCAGAAGAGCAATACTTCCCCTTTTAGATGAAGTAACACTTTAAAGGGAATGTTACAGGCAGTGCAGGCACATGCACAGGTGGATAAGAACATCCACAACTCCTAGATAGATAGAAACAGAGCTGGAGTCATTTGGAGGAACCTGACTCTGTCCATCAGACTATTCATATACAGTATTTAAAATACTTTTTGGTGGCAGCTTCAGTTTACAAGAAAATAACAAATTATTTATTTTGCATTGAGAAAACACAATAAAGACTATGAAATAAGACACACTCTTAAATTAGCTGCAGGAACAGCAACAAAAAAGGAAACATCTTTGAATTTGAGTTATAATTATTTGCTTTTTTGTCTTTCAGCACTAGCCCTGCTCACAAGTATTATCTCACTGTGGATCCTTCTTCAGAGTCTGTCTACCTATCTGACACTAATACCAGGAAAGTTTACAGAGTGAAATCTCTTAGTGATGTTAAGGAATTGACAAAGAACTTTGAAGTGGTAGCAGGCACAGGGGACCAATGCCTCCCATTTGATCAGAGTCACTGCGGGGACGGCGAGAAAGCCAATGAAGCGTCACTCAACAGCCCTAGAGGTAAACTGACCACCTTTGCTTTTGTCACTGCATATGGATTGTTGTAAAATAACTACCAATGTTTTAGATCAACACTCTTTAACACTCTCAGTCAAAAGTAGAGCCAATATATAAAAGAATGTATGCAAATATAGACATGCAATCATGGAAATAGCCAGAATTGGGCATTTTCCAGGTTGTTAAAGAGACTCACTTTGCCAATTTAGGGCAAATGAAAAAATGTTTTACTAATCCACCACCTCAATCCACTTCTACTCACCTTGCCTGCACTCTGTCATGAATATTCATTGCGATTATGTTAGGATTACTTTCTTAGATTTATTTTTGGTGTTTCAGCATACATTTTTTAGGCTTTTGCTCTAATCTGATCTGGTTCTGTGCATTAACATGAGTCCTTTTGAATGGGCTACCAGTGCACTGCGATAAACCACAAAATGCTCCTGCTTTTCATAAGGCAGCATACCACACAGTTATCTGTTGTGGTTTACTGCAACACAGGTGCATCAGAAGTGTATTTATTGAGTGTGTTGGGGTGCCACCTAACCTGAATGGCATTTCAGCACACTAACACCTGTGCTACTCATTGTGGTAACGTGTATACTAACATGCATGTTCCCGCAACATATAGGTGTAAAGCCAACCTAGGTTTTAAGGTAAAGTGCAAAAGGTTCATTTTAATAGTTGAGTTAGGGGAGTAAGTTTCCGTTTTTAGCGGTAGAATAAAGAGAAAGTCTTTCTATATATTCAATTGCTTTCTTAATCATACATCACAGGAGACCAGAGAATTATTTCTTAAACTATTGGCTTAAACACCACCTCTGGGCAATTGAACACTGGAAAATTACAAAGCCTGACACTACTCAGCATAACCCCTCCCATTCCCAGCATTGCCTATTTTTTTTGCTAGTGTCTGTAGTTAATTGTCCTGTCTCTTTCTGCTGAGCAGGATTTCTTTTGTAATACACACTTGTAATGCATGGAGATGCTAAACTTCGATGCTCTGTAGCAGTGACAGTTATCCAGATCAGCACCTATGGAATAATGATTCCTAGAGGAGATGTACCTGGACTTTGCAGAGAATGCCTGTAAGCTGTGACTACAATGGATCCTTCTGCATTGTGATGGTAACCTTGGCAGGTAGATGCATCACATGAGGTAGCCAGCAGGGGGCTATACAGGTCCAGGGCCATGGCTGAGGCAGAGTCCAGTTCCTGAATACCCTGTGCGGTATACCTGACATGAACCTAGTAAATACTGAGCCTTTTGGCTCTGTGGTGCATTTTTAAGTTCTCTCTCATGTGAGAGGTCCCCATGTACTTCTGCGCTGTAGGGGAGACTTCAGCATGGACAGCAATTTAAACACTGAGCCTGGAAGATTATGCCTGTATCCTAGGGTGCTTCCAGAGGGTGCTGTGGTTCTGTGGGTTCCTTTGTTCTCTGCTAGTGCTGTTGTTTTTCTTGGGTGGGGCCACCCAACTGCTTGTTTTTCTTGGGTGGGGCCAGTGGACAATGTGTGTTTAAGGACTCTATAGATGAAAAAAAAATTGAGCCCTCTTCACTATAAGGCTTCCTTTTATGTGGCAAATACAGTCATGCTATCTGCCATTGCCCCTAGGGGTTTGTCAGGCCTTTTTTGATATAAGGAAAGGCCATGGAAACTGACTTTTGAGTCTGGTTCAGCATTTGCAGCTCTTCCCTGAAGCATTATTTCTGTGTGGATGAGTTGGGAGATTTTTTCCCAACAAATATCTTGCCTGGGACTTATGAGGTGGGTGCTATGGCTAAAATGCTGTTCAGCAGAGCTCCTCTGAACAAAACAGCTGGAACATATGCTTTTTAAGGGTGAATACATCTTTGACAATGCTCTGGATATGTTTATCCACAAAATAACAGGAGGAAAGAGTGCTCTCTTACCTCTTAAGAAGTAGCAGAAACCTTGTGAGTAGAAGCTATCTTCACCTGAAACCAAGAAGAGTTACTTTAGTTCCTTTCAGAATACAGGGGTGAAGAAAAAAATTTTTTTTGGGATAAAGTTCTGGAGCCCTTCTCAGTGATGGGGCACCCCACTTCTGCAGGTGGGGAGGATGCTTGGAAGTCTTTACAGCCATATAGACCCAAATTGACTCTGATGCCTGGGTTCAAAACATTGTGTCCTGAGGCTACAAGCTGCAGTCTTGCCTTTTTCCCCTTCCATACTATTTTCTGATGAATGTACCTACTGCACCACACAACCACCCAGGAAAAGCTTGAGATCCCTTCAGAACCCTCTGGAGTTAAATTACCTTGAAAATCTCTCCATTTGCTTTTGCATGAGGGTGTTGGAATTGATGGTAATCTCCTTTGAAGTAGTCCAATATGCCCCATTTAGTTGAAACTGGATGCAAGTCAACATATAACAACATGAGACAAAAGGTTCTTTCCTTGGATCATTCGATGTCTAGGAGTCTGGCTGTTTCTGAGGGGGAGCATAACCCAGTAGTATAAGAATAATTCTCTTGTGTCCTGTGATGTATTCTTAGAAAGAAATTGTACAGGTATGTAAAAAAAACAAAACATTTTTAAACATTAGGGTGGGAGGGGTGAAATAGAAAAAAATACTGGAGTTCTATTTATAAAGGAGTTTATCTGACCTGCAACAAACATTCACTGTAGGTGAATCTTCCTAGGACGAAGGGTACATTAAAGGTTTAACAGCTGAGAAAGGTGGAAAAATAGCGCTGGGCCCCTAGTGTTATCTCACTGGTATTGCTATCTTAATTATTGCCATTGATGTAAATGATCTGGTTCCTGGACAGGCAGCTTTTGCACCCCCAGAGGATCTCCATGTTCTCCTTGGCTTGAACTGTAAAGTAACAAAAATAAAAAAGGAAGTTGCTACGAGGTCCAGAAATAATTTTATTTCAGTAAAAGTAAGGGATAGAATCCAAAAAGTATCCAAAACATTTCAGGAGTCCAAGATCACCCCCTTTATCAGGACCTGATTGACAACAATATGGATAGACTAGAAGTGAACTGGACCTTTAATGCAATTTTTTCTAGTGTGATTTGACAGGCAAACCAGCTGCTGGCAGTGCCTGTACTTGCAATTGCAAAGCACCTTCTCCACACTCCAGTGCTCTCATCCTGTCCCTCTCTAGTTCTACTAGAGCCCAGTATC